GTTTAACCACTGAGGATAAACAAACTTTGGCCTCGGCAATTACCTTTGGTGAATTAAGTGCTGCAGTATCAGGACTTGCCTCAGGTCGTACTCCAGGTATAGATGGACTTCCTGGCGAGTTCTATAAGCACTTCTGGACCTTAATTGGAACTGATCTTTATGAAGTTCTACAAGAAGTTTTCATGTGGGTTTTCTTCCTAAAAGTTGTCAAAGAACAGTTTTAACACTACTTCCGAAGAAAGGTGACCTTACGTTAATAAAGAATTGGAGACCAGTTACTATTCTGTGTTCCGAGTATAAACTAATAGCAAAGTGTTTGGCTAATAGGTTAAATAAAGTGTTGCACACAATTATACACAAAGATCAATCCTATTGTATAAAGGATAGATGTATCAGTGATAATTTGCATTTAGTATGTGATGTTATTGATTATGCTTTTAAAAACAATATTGATATGGGAATTCTATCTTTAGATCAGGAAAAGGCATTTGATCGAGTTGATCATCAGTTTCTTTATAGAGCTTTGAAGGCTTTTGGTTTTGGAGATAATTTTGTTGCAATGATAAAATTGTTGTACAATGATGCCACATGCATGATTAAAATGGCAGGTGGACTGAGTGTTCCTGTTAAAGTACAGAGGGGCATACGACAGGGATGCCCACTCTCAGGTCAGCTTTATGGTTTGGCTATTGAGCCTCTCCTTTGTAAATTGAGAGAAAAGTTAATGGGGTTACAGATAAATGGTCCAAATTGTAATGACTATGTAAAAATCTCAGCATATGCTGATATCACTGTAATTTTGAGAAATGAAAATTATGTTCAAGTTTTAACAGATGTCTTGAAGAGTTATGGGAAAGCTTCAACTGCCAAAGTAAATTGGGATAAAAGTGATGCCCTATGGTGTGGTTCTGATTCTAGTAGTCCGAGACTCCCAGGTAGACTAAAGTGGGGAAGTTCTGGGCTAAAGTATCGTTTTTTTTTTTAGGAAAATAAGAATATAAGAGGCTTAATTGGGAGGGTCTGGTGGACAAGGTGAGTGCTCGGTTGTCTCGCTAGCATTGGCTGCTCCCCCAGCTATCGTACAGGGGAAGAGTTTTAGTCTGTAACAATCTGGTAGCCTCATCCTTGTGGCACAAAATAACTGTTTTAGAACCTCCCAAGGAACTGGTGGAAAATGTTCAAAAGCATCTAGTGATTTTTTTCTGGTCTGGTCAGCATTGGCTAAAAGCATCAGTGTTATACCTGCCCAAACAAGAAGGAGGCCATGGACTGGTGGACATTAATAGCAGAATAAAAACTTTTAGGCTACAGACAGCAAAAAGGCTACTTTATGGAAAAGATGTAAGCTGGGCTGGAGTAGCTTGTTCTCTTCTAAGAAAAACGGGCAGTATGGGGCTTGACCGGCACCTATTCCTTATGGACACTAAAAGTCTTGATTTGTCTGGAAATTTTAAGTAAATCAAGAAACCTCAAAGATGTGCAAGGCCCTTGGATGAGAGAAGAACCTCTGTTGCACAATCCCGTTGTGGATTTGGACATTTTAAAGTCAGCGTCAATGACGACTGTTTTAAGGAATGCTGGAATTATAAAGATTGGACATTTAATAACAACAAATGAATGAATGTCTGCTGAGATGCTGGCCGCTAAGCTGGGTGTGAGGTAAATTTGCTTGACACAGAAACTGTTGAATGATCTTCTTGAATGTTTACCTATGAATTTTAAAAATGGTTTGGAACCAAACAAAGATAGGGATGTCTTTTTCCCAGAGTTAAAAATTGTGCCTGCTGTTGATGCTTTTCAAGAGAGGGAAGGATTTTTGCTCAACTTCAGAACTCCTGAACTAGAACTTTTCAGTGAAACTGTTAAAAAAGCACTGTATGTCATATGTGTCAAAGTTTCCCATATAAACTCTTTAAAGGGACTAAAATAATCTAAATGGCAAGAGGTTTTTGGATCAGAGACTTCCCCTAAAGGTAGCTGGAGGACCTTGTATAAGGTTCCCATTGAGAAAAGGTCTGGGGAACTTCAGTGGAGAATTGTGCATGGTTTAATCTCACCTTGATCCACAGGTAGGGGAGGAGTGTCCTTTTTGTGGGCAAACATAAACTGTTTTTCATCTATTTTTTTTACTGTGGTAGACTTGAAGCTTTGCTATCTCAATTAGAAGAATGGTGTAGCATTTTAGGAGAAAATTTTTCACCTGCAATTTTTATTTATGGTCCTAAGTATGACAAAAATAAAAAGCAGAACCACGTGATGATTAACTTTTTGTTTGGGCAGGCAAAAATGGCAATTTTTAAAGTCACGTAAAGGTAAATTAAATGGTATGGGGTCAACTGATGAAGTTTCAATTTTAAAGGGTTTAATAAAATCAAGGTTAAATAAAAAGCAGAACCACGTGATGATTAACTTTTTGTTTGGGCAGGCAAAAATGGCAATTTTTAAAGTCACGTAAAGGTAAATTAAATGGTATGGGGTCAACTGATGAAGTTTCAATTTTAAAGGGTTTAATAAAATCAAGATTAAAGGTAGAATATGCTTATTATCAATTGGTTAAAGATATCGAGACTTTTAACTATACTTGGGGAGTGAACAAGTGTTTGTGTGAAACTGACATTGATGGTTCTTTGCAAATTTATATTTAATTGTATTTTATTGAGATGTATTTTGGTTTGGTTTTAAACTTTGTGTTGTTTATTTTATTATGTAATGGTGGGTATTTTGTGTAGCTCTTATGTAATTTTGGAAAAATTGTAATTAAAGATATGTTTAAAGTCAAAAAGTCTCTTGCGCTCTCTCTCTCTCTCTCTCTCTCTCTCTCTCAATTTCAATTCAAATAGCTTTATTGGCATGACAATTGTTACAATGTATTGCCAAAGCATAGTGTTTACATTGAATCTAGAACAGATATATATGCAACAGAAACATGCATGTATATACATTTAGAAAGTAAAACAAATTAACATTTTAGAATCGTAGAATTCTACAAACAATTTATAATTCAATGTGGTGTGTGTGTGTCATATTCAGAGACCGACTGTAGCTGAATCTTCAGACTGGATCTCTGACCATCGAGAACATGAGAACCGAACACTGGACTTTATAAACTACAGATCGACCACAACACTGGGACCACATATAAGATATTCACTGTCACTGTCTATGGTGAGCTATATTTATCTTTAAATATCTTTGAATTTTTTTAAATAATGAGATGTTTCTTTGTGTTTTATGAATTAAACTAAATGAAACTGATATTTAAAGAACAGCCAGCAAACATTACTTGTAACGTGTTCAGCAGTCTTATGGAATTGTAGTATGACAACTTCTATTAATCTGCATATGCCTTATGATTTATGAATATGATTTTCGCAGAGTCTCCGTCTGTTATTGATGCTGGTGTTGCTGAAATGAAGCTCATGTCATTGAAGGAGGGAGATCCTGTCATTCTTCAGACTGATGTTCCTCAACTAACCGGAGATGAGCTGATAGTGTGGAGGTTTGGAGATGAAGGAAAACTCATAGCTAAAGCTGATATAGAAGCCAAGAGCTCATCATTATATGATACTGATGAGAGATTCAGAGACAGACTGCAGCTGAATGACCAGACTGTATCTCTGACCATCACAAACACCAGAACCACAGACTCTGGACTTTATACAGCGAAGATCAGCAGCAACAAACAGACTTTATACAAGAGATTCATTGTTACTGTCAGTGGTGAGTAACTCAATTGTTTTAAAGTAACGATTGTTTATCAGCTCTCTGTGAATAATTCAATTGATCTGACATTAAAATGTGAACCACAGCAGTATTTCTCAAACTATGCATGTGCTGTTTTATAATAATCAAAAGAATGGTTCGCCCTGTATCTGATGATATTCAGGCTGATGTTCTTGATCTGCTAATCAAATGTAAATGACAAATTGTAAATGTGATATAAAGCACCTTTGTATTCATGCTAAAGTACTTGCCTGATGAATTCGCCATACTGCACTAGTAAAAAGGATGGAAAAAGATTTTTTGCACTTTTACTCAACTCTGTATTTAAAGAAATGTGATATGATACCACATTGTGTTGTGCCTTGTATTATTATTATTCACTGCTATTTGTATTATTCTCATTGGTTAACCATTTGAATAAATTTTGCACAAAGATCTGTTCTCCTCAGTCTCAGTGATTATAATAATCTTGTTTGCTGCTTATGTGAAATCTACATTAAGACACCATATTCTAAAAACAATTTGATACAAATGTTATTCATGCAGCAAAATTGACAATGCAAAAGAGTACACAGATTTATTCTTCATGATTAACAGAGCTGAATGATGTTGTGTTACTAAATAAAGTAAATAAAAGTGAAATCTAACGCAGTACATGTAGCAAGAGAGAGAGAGAGAGTGGATGGTTTATGTCTTTAGCCATTTATAATTGGTCTATCTATCTCCAGGGATTTCACTTGCATATAACACACATACACACACACACACACACAAGAAATGGCCATCTTTGTGTTAATATACCTTGTCTCCGACCGTGTGTGTATATTTGCTGGACATGGGATAACTGTAAAAACCCGGGATAACGGTATCAGATATACGGAACCCCAACTGACAGGATTTGACACGTTGCACACTAATGACATCTTGGGGTCAAAGGTGGAAAAAGGTGCCTTTGCGTCCCTTCCCAGCCATTCGAACGTCACAGATCACCTGATCACATGAGATGTTCGTTTTCGTTTCGTTTTTATTTGATACAAGCTTATAGCCTCGGTGCCGAACGTCACACTAACACCGTGATTCAGTGTATAGTTTAGGCCTACTGTATTTTTTTAATTATTTTTATAATTATTTTTTTTTAGATATTTGCATTTGTTGTTCGGTTTGGATCGGTGCAGGAATGAAGAACGCAATGAGATTCAGCGGAACAGAACACTGTTAAATAATCTCCATCGATCATCTGTATTACATTCACAGCTCTACAAAAACATGCAACAGATATTATTGTTGTCTCTGTTACTTCTGGGCGGTAAGTGGATTTATGTTATACTTTTATAAGTTTCATTCATGAGACATTCACATCAGCTATGCTACAACAAATGCATGAACTGAAACTGAAAGAACGCGTTTAATAGCCAAACCAACATTTATAAAATAATGTGGCAACTGGCAGACATAAAAAAAATTAAATCGCATCTCAGTCAGACGTCGGATCTGCTGAAATTAGCTATTCACTGTCATATTCCCATCGCGTGTCCACTACAAAAATCAATAAATAAAAATCATGTGGTTTATTAATTTCCCTGAAGATTTCTGACACAGTTGTGCAATTCTTTGCCTATTTTATTTAATGATAATGTTGGCTTGAGAAAGCCAGCATACTGTTATGCCAGTAAAATTAACATTCTAAAACATGCTCTTTGTGAAGTTAAGCTTGATCATATGAACGCATTTCTGTTCTCTGCTTCTATGTGCCACTGTGACAGCTGAAGAAAAGACGGTGCCAGGAACAGAAGGGAGATCTGTCAATCTAGAGACTGGTACTGAACTACGGAAAGGTGATGAGATAAAGTGGTGGTTTGAGGACCTCATCCTCATTGAATTCACAAAAAAGACCAAGGAAGCAAGTGATACAGAATGTGATGTTCCTGATGGGATATTCAGAAACAAGCTGGTGCTGAATGAGAAGACTGGAGATCTCATCATCAATAACATCAGGACCATTCACTCTGGACTCTACAAACTACAGATCAGCCGCAAAAACGGAAAAACCGAATACATGAGATTCATTGTTACAGTCACTGGTGAGTAGATCAATAATCATGCACTGTGTGAACAGCTGAGATCATCTGAACTTATCCCAAATTCCCAAAGTACAACATAATTTTAGTTACTTTGAGATTTTAATGTTTTTCATTTTAATTACTGTCATATTAAAATTACTAGAACAAATTCATCATAAGTAAAAAAACAACAACAACAATATCATCACCAAATGTGAACTATTTTATCGCCACGCTCTGAACTGAGGCATTATTATAAATTTCAAACACTAGCATTATGAATATAAGTGAAGCTGCTTCAAAACAGTGTGTATTGTGAGAAGTGCTATACAGATATACTAAAATTATGAAACTAAAGGTTTGCTAATACCATGGACAATAACAAAAAAGATATATTTTTCAAAATAACAGAGGGTCCACAACTATAATGATAATGACACAGAACAATATAACTGGAATAACCTTCGAAATTATTTTTCTGGCTGATGAGTGATAAAAAATATTGACAGCCAATCAGAATCCATCTTGCTTTAATCCAGCTTGAGCATTTAAAGCTTGAAATGACAATCTTGTGTGTTGGTGTGGATGCTAATATAGTTATTATTGTAATTATCTTTATAGTTATTTTTATTGGTGTTAATGGGTATTAAAGGAGTAATATTGTACAAATAAATTAGAATTTTTTTTGTCAAAATCATATTACAAGAAACGTGATGATGAATCATAAGTAGTCATAGGTAATTCATAGGCAATCATAGGAAGTCAAATACTACAGCATATTCTATGATTTGTGAATTTAGGTAATATCTTCCTAGATAGATGAGCTGAAACTACAAACATAACAAACTAGGTTAAAATGCCATCTAAATAAATTTGTTGAAAATGCAAATTAAATGAATGCATAAATGAATTTTTTTCTGTATTTCTGTTTCTTTGTGTTGCTTTGACATGAAGTGAAGGAGGTGCCAGCGAAGGTTGGAGAATCTGTCACTCTAGACCCTGGTCTTGAAACACTGAGAAGTGATCTGATACTGTGGACGTTTGGAGCTAAAAACTGTCTTGTTATTAAAGCCGAATCAGGAACGACGAGTATTAGTGATAGATTCAGAGACAGACTGGAGCTGAATCATCAGACTGGATCTCTGACCATCACAAACACCACAGATACAGACTTTGGACTTTTTCAACTTCAGATCATCAACAGAGACCGGACCAGATACAGGAGATTCAATCTGACTGATACTAGTGAGTAGAATTACATTTATTATAATAACTAGGTTATATATTAATTTTTAACAAACCTGCATTTCCCACACATTTTTAGATGCGACATGTAAACAGGCCCTAAAAAATGCAAATAGGTTGTGCAAGTCTGTATCTTAATAAGTCCTTCATTGAATCATTTATTTGAATGATTGATTCAAATGGCTGATTCATTTAGAAAGGAAGCCAGTGACAGTCTTTATGAATGGATCATAGAATCATTGACTCCCTCGATTCATTCAAAGACAGATTCATTCATGAATGAAACACTGCAATGCTCTGAGACACACAAATGTGTCTCTTTGTTTAGAACTATTTTCGTTGGTAAAACAGACAAAATTGTAAATATAACAAAAATGATTGAAAATGAAATGAAAAATTGACAAAAATATAGCTTACTCTGTATTAACTTCATATTTCTTGAACTGTTGTATAAAATTGATATCACATTTGTGATCACGCTCACAGGAAAATGGCACTCTTGCTTGTGTGATATTACTTCACTGCATTTTATAAATATGAAAAACAAAAACTCACACAGGGATATGTTTTGCTTTAAAGGGGTCATATGATGCTTTTTTAAAGATCGTTATTTTGTGTATTTGGTGTAACAGAATATGTTGACATGCTTTAATGTTCAAAAAACACATCATTTTTCAAATACTGTACATTATTGTAGGTCCTCTATGCCCCGCCTCTCTCAAACGCTTCGTTTTCTACAAAGTCCCTCTTTCCGAT